ATAATCCAAAACATATTCCAATACTAATAATTGGATGATGCTGTTAGTGTAGGTGAACCAAATTGTGATATATGTTTTAATTGAATATACTACATTTAGCAATTTTGGGCAACCCTTCTTTCAGTAACTCAGTAGTTTAAAATAATTAATATCTCTACTTTCCAGTGATCAAAACAAAAAAGTTTACATGCTATTTTCAAACTGATTGTCTTAAAGTATAAATATCTCATGTACATAAATTTTAAATTATGTTTCTGTCTCAACGTCTTCTAAATATGGTTTTTACGCTATAACACAGAAAATACAATAGATCTGTTATTAAATGCATAGCCAAATCCCTGCCAAGATATCAGAGGAGTCACATAATAATGTTAACTATGCCAGTAGTGGTTTTTTGACTAGGTCACTTCCATTCCATAGAGAAATTGAATCCAGATTAATGCCCAGTGATAAAACTGATTTTTTTACAAAAGCCATATGATAGCAAGACCTATAATACCTAAAAGATTGTAAAACATTTTTGAACTTTGAAGATTCTTAGTTTTTTTCATACATATTTAGTGTCGTTGTCATGCTTAAGGCAACTTTTTATCTTGTTTAAGATGGCTCACACCAGTGTCTAAAATTATTCTGAAAGTGATAATAAAAAGCAGCATAAAGGCATAATAATGCAAGATGTACAGAATAATCATTTAGAAATCTTCCTTATACTTTTCTACCTCCTGTCTCTTGCCTCCCTTCCCTGAAATTAGTAGTCATGATATATAGGAAGTTCTCAGTTTAAGAATGAGTTCCATTCCCAAGGTCTGTCCTTAAATCAAATTTGTACGTAAGCTGGAACAGTATTATGTAATACTGTTAATACTAAGTAAAGAGAAGATGAGCCCAAATCCTGCAGCCTAACACAAACGATTCTCAGAAGAAAGATTCCTTAATACTCACCTTTGCCGGACCTGAGTAGCTCACCAGTATTAAGTAGTATTGTGTAATTAACTTGAACCATTGTGTCTTTAACTTGAATCATTGTGTCTTTAACTTGAATTTTGCTACAATAGGCTGCATTCTTAACTATGGGTCATCCTTAAACCTGACATTTTTAACCCAGGGATTACCTGTATTTGCATAGTAAGGAGTATATTCCATAGCTTCAGGGTAGCCAAGTTAAATGAAATTAACTTTTCAGCTTATTATAGAATTAACCAGTCTAGTTTAATTAGTGATTTGTGAGTGAGGGCTTATGTAATGTACTTAAATGAGACTCACTTTGCCACTACATAATGGATGTTATTGATCAGACAGAGGTTGCAGAATTTTACTTCCTAATTTAATCAGCAGAACTCTATTATGGCCAAAACCCAGCAAAACAGATGAAGACACTTACAGAAAAATACAAAAAACAAACCAGGTTTATATGGGTGAAAGGTGATCACTAAGAGGTGTCTTCTGTCACATTCTTGAACCTAAATGGCAAAATTTAGCAACATTATAGGTGACCTGGAAATTTTTGTCAGCTGGTACAAAAGCTAAGTAACATCTGACTGTTGAAACATACCCTTGTGAAAGCCCAATTATATGTAGGGTAGACCAGTGTAGAAAGATAAGATGCAATGATTCTCCCATCAAATCAAGCTGGACAGAAGATTAAACCTCACTTCTCGACCCAGGAAGTGTTGTGTAATCAATTCCTTAGCCTGATCCTTGTTTAATATACATAAATTGGCTGGGAATAAGCCACACAATGTGATTTTCCAGTTAAAGACTTTCTTCCAATTGGACTAAAAATTATTACTCAGAATGAGGTGGGTCAAAACTGATGGAGTCCAATTAAGTGTACTTAATTGCTGCTATCCACATTCTTGTTTTTACTGTAGCGAGATCAGCCTAACCCTAACTTAAGGACAGCATTAGCAACACATTTAGGTGTATCACTTGCTAACAACCTTCAGCATATTAATTGGGAATTGTAGAATATCTAAAGACCATTCTAATCTAAACCTTTTGGCCTGTACTCCATCTTTTTTGTCTAAAAGGATCAATTCCTATGAAAGTATTAAATCTCTTATGCAAAGCACCCATATGTTATTGAGGTTCTGATAAATGTGAGTTGAAAGTGGAGAGACAAAAATCCATTAGTGACAATGAATTGATTTATAATGTATTTGAGTGCAATAAATGTATTTGTAAAAGGCAGAAAACTGGCAAAAAACCCACCCAAAATAGATTCTAAGATATGTTAAGCCATTTGGTACTATGTATTAAGCTATGTATTAAGCTAGTATGGTTTCCAGAATGTTCATTCATAGTAAACTAGGATAAACCAGCATTTCTGTTATATTGTGCAAAAAGACATCCAGTCCCAGATTATTTTTTTGCTTTGTGCTTTAGGATTAGTTTATGCTTTCAGTAAGGTAATAGACTTCTAAAATATTGAATTGTGAAAATAGTCAGCCTCAGGCATGGAAAAGTTTTCTGTTTTCAACTTTTATCAGAACATTTATATTGGCAACTAAAAACCAGTTTTTGTAACAGAAAAGGTTGGTTGGGGAAAGGTGATTTTTTAAAGCAGTTTGTCATTCTGAACTATTCACTTCTCAAATGTAGGAAGTTTTCCATTTCTGATTTGAAATACCTTAAAAAAAAGATGTTTAAGTACAGAATACTAAAAATAGGATATTGTTAGCTATATAATAATGTTGCATTTATTTATTTTGCTCAAGTTTTTTCCCTGCTAAAAAAAAGCATTTCAAAATTGGTCAAATTTCCCTTTCAAAAATATGGAAAGGGATCAGAACACACAGAAAATTTAAGTTAGCCAAATTTACCAAGATTTCATTAGCAACATTGACAAACATGGTTTTAGATCAGTACCTAGCTACCTTAGGTAACATTCAGAGTCTAAATTCTTGTTGAATGTTTTAGTTCCCCAGAGGGGTGTGTACTTTGTTTTCTGTGTGTATTGTGACTGCTTTAGCTTTTGTCTGATGGACTGCTTTGCTGCTTGTCACTAATGCTTAGTTGTTTTCCCTCCCTGTGGTGTGTGGTATTGGGGTTTATATCCTAGCTCTTCATACAGATACTGCAGCTGGACTCCTGATCCGCAGCATTCATTTGGTAACCCAAAGGCTCAACGCCCAGTGGAGACAGGAAATGAGCATCTCGCTGGCTGCATTAGAGCTACTCTCGGGTCTGGCAAAGGTGAGCATTAGGGAATCTTTCTTCTGAGAATTGTCTGCGTTAGGCTGCAGGATTTGGGCTCACCTTCTCTTTACTTCTTCACCAAAATCTCTTTCCTCCTGGAGGAACAGCTGGCAGAATTTGTTCCATGCTAGGAATGGATCTTTCTCTTGAAGGATATAATGATTTTTCTCCTACCTGGAAAAAAATTGCTGCAATTAATCTGAATTGAATAGCAATTTAATGAAATAAAATTAATTAATAAAAACAATGCTCTTTAAGCCAAAAGGGTAAGTATTTAGAAGAATATAAAAATCCAACATATATATGGAGGTTTTGTATTATAGTACATTCTATAGTTTGGTATATCATGTTAAGCTCACATGTTTTTATGGGGCTTTAATTTTACTTCGATTAATGTGGAGAGTGATTTCCTAAAGCTGAGCAACTTTTTGTACTTCTTGTGTCAGGTGAAGGTTGGCGTTGACTCTTCTGATAGGAAGAGAGCAATTAGCTCTGTGTGCTGTTACATTGTGTATCAGTGTAGTCGTCCAGCTCCTCTCCATTCTAGAGATCTCCATTCCATGATAGTAGCAGCATTTCAGTGTCTGTGTGTCTGGCTCACTGAACATCCAGACATCCTTGATGAAAAGGTAAGTGAAAATGTCTCTCTCTCTATATAAGCTTAGTTATTTGTCTATGGTAATAAATACATGCAAACCTTTTTTCTGCAATCTGTCTGCATGTTTCGCTTGTAAAACCAGTACAGTAGGAATGTAAAGGTTTAGGTAGAAAGCCACATTTCGCCCTTCAACAGTTCCCCCAGGAGTTATCCTGTAGTTTGTTTTCAAAATATGCAGTGCACAACAAATCATGACATTTGTCTCAGTTAAACCATGGGGGATAGGATAAAGTAAAAGGAGCTTCTAAAGCTCTGGGTAGCTTGTATGTTCTTAAATGGTTTTAATGCAACTAATCACCAAAGACATTATGATGCACATATGTATTCCTCCTCCCCTACAAAAACTAGCTATCAAAATGACTATATATCATTTTAAATCAGGTATTGGTGAGTCCTAACAACAACAAAAAGCATCCTAGAGCTTTTATCATTACAGACTCTATAGGCTGTGGAGCTCCTATCGCTCCTAAAAGGTCTGTTAAACGAACTTTCTTAAAAACATCCAAGTGAAATCAGTGCCAGGAAAGTGAGCTGCCCTAAATAAACTAATAGTGCAAAGTACCTAAGAAACTACAGTATCTAATTAATGAAACATAACCTGAAGTAAGTTGAAGCAATGTAAAAGTTCTTTATTGTGATTTCTGTGATTCATACATATGTGTTATTCACTTACTCAGACTCCCTTTGAGAATCTTTCAAAGTTTACAGAAATGTTTGACAGGAGCCCTGCACAAGACATACCACGTGTCTAAACACAGCTCCTGCTTAATCTTTTCAGCTGTTTTGGACCAAGCCATTCTTCTTTCAGCTCCTTGTCTTATTGAGAATCTCATTATCATTTTACTTAGTTTATTCGCTTTATTCTACATTCATCCTCTCAATTCTTCTGAATATTCATAGAATTGTTTTGTCCTTCCATCAAGGACATCTGACCTAATTTAGTTATTTTATTTCTTTAGTAAAGTGTTGGATTTGTTAATAGATGCCCTGAATTTGCCAAGTAGCTGAATGGTACAACATTCCCCTTTTAGGATTGTTTAAAAGAAGTATTGGAGATTGTGGAACTGGGCATTTCAGGAAGTAAATCCAGAAGTAGTGAACAAGAAGTTAAGTACAAAGGAGATAAGGAGCCAAATCCTGCTTCCATGAGAGTGAAGGATGCAGCTGAAGCTACCCTCACATGGTATGAAAGATTATTGAAAATAATCCTCTTGATCACAGTACAATATTTTTCTTACCTTGATAGATTAATGTTTCCACAGTGAATTTGCTGAAAACGGTGTTTTACTTAAAATTAAAGAATCTTGGAAATATATGTTTGGTGTTGATTAAAGAAAATACTCTCAGGTTCTGCCTTTTCTTTTAAATACCTTTTCCTTGATTATGTTACTTAGAATTGTAGGCTACTTGATGCCTTGTGACAGCAAGTCACCGGGAAAAATGTCATCGATACAATTTATGTTACTTCCAGTATTCTAAGAATGGTTTTTCTACTAAATATGTTTTGACTAAATTATTCCTTTGGTTTACAGCATCATGCAAGTTCTTGGAGCTTTTCCTTCACCCAGTGGTCCTGCTTCCCCTTGCAGCTTAGTAAATGAGATCACCTTAATCAAATATGCTCGTCTGCCTTCTATAAACAAATACAGCTTCCGCTACTTTGTCCTGGATAACAGTGTCATCCTTGCAATGTTAGAGCAGCCTTTAGGGAATGAGCAAAGTGAGTAAATGTATTATGCAACTTTTCAGGCATCCTTGTGTATATGTGTATGTGGTTAATTAAACTGGTCTTTTGCATTATAGAATATTGTACTGAACTGTAGAATATTGTAAAATTGTGCCATATTAAATTTGGGTGGTATATCTGAGATACAGCTCACTTCAGATGATGATAACTTGGTTTCATGATGGTTCATTATCCTGGTTTGTTTCAAAACTGGTGACTAGGAGCTTCCTTGCTTGTTATATTTGTTGTATTCTCCATATACTAACTTATTTTTGGAGCCAGGTTTTACTAGACTACACTGTTAAACTTTTTTTTTTTTAGAGTGGCTTTTATGTGACCTTAAGAAAAGGTATTTCAAAGAGACATATCACAAAGTATGAATTATGTCATGAAAATGAAGAGGATAAAGCTGTAAAAGACTGGTTGTCATGATGGCTGTATAGAACATTATTAGAGACAGTAGATCTTTCAATGCCAGTTACTGGGGAATGAATAGAAAACCATATACCCTTTATGTTTAGGTTATGGGTTTTCCATAGACACCCAGGTACCATTCTGGGCACAGAATGCTGGATAAGATTGACCTTTGGTCTAATCCAGCAGAACTCTTACATTATTAGAAAATTTCAGCTGGATACTTAAGGCTCATTCTTTGCCATTAGGCTATATGAATTTTTACTAGAACTGAATTAATCTTGGAGCCTCCAAAACACATGATAAAACTTTGAGTTGCACTGAGGAATTCAAGCTGAAACCAGTTAAATACAAATTAAGTCTGCTTCTGTTTTGACAAGGTCTTGCAGCTTATCTTTAAGTATTTAGAATGTCAGAGAATTTTTTTGTCTTGTTTTGAGTCATTCAGTACTGGGTATGCTGTAGCCAACCTGCTGTTTTCTTTCCTCGTGCTTTCATTCCTCTGATAAATTAAGACTATCCAAGTTCTGTTTATTTACAGATATAATGGGGAAGCCTATTTATTTCTTTCCAGTAATCGTATGCAGTTTCTGCACATAGAGCAGGCTTATGCTCTTATCTTCAAGTCTGACTAGTCTGTTGAATTTGTAGATCTACCAGTTGTATTACTGAATTTTTTGCTCCCTTCATTTGTTTACATATGCCCAATTTCATCTTTTTAACCATTATTATTTTAGGAGGTTATTCATGCAAGCGTTTCTCTTCCTAGATGACTTTTTTCCTTCAGTCACCATTCTGATCCGTGGGATGTCCGGAAGACATGCATGGGCACAACAACTTTGCCTTTTGCCAAGAGGAGCCAAATCAAATCAAAAGGTTTTTGTCAGAGTTCTGGGTAGAACCAATTTGCTTTCTTATAAAAGCCAAAGAGCACTGAAAAATGTTCAGTAGAAGTACTGTTATACTACCCATAATGCAGTGAATTTCTGGTTTTAATGCCCCTTTCAGTTTCACTTCCAAACTGACTCTGTGCACCACGGATTATTCCTCTCCTGGTATTTTCTTGTAGGGATCCAGGGAGGATTATATTTTTAAAAATGAAAATAAATGTGATTATTGAATTAGGGACTATTACCATCCTAATTTAGAAATGAGGGCATAATGAATCATGTTCATACATATACACAGTGTGTGTGGTTCACATCCTCCATTTAACAGTTGCACAATTTCATAATAGATAGTAATTATGGTCTGTCCTTGGCCAACCTACTGGTAGTTGTAAATAGACATTAGAACTTCTTCAGCATAAGTACTGTTTTCTTTAGTGATATGTCAGTTAATATCAAGGTAATTCTGTTTACAAAAAAAGACTCATCACAAACATATTTATTTACTAATAATCCTAAATGATTATGGTATCAACGTTCATCTTTATTCCAGAAGATTGTTTGTTCTGGTACTGTTTCTTTTCTCTGAACTAATAATACTTTAGTAAATCAAAATTATGTACTAGAAATATAACTGCCAAAGAACCGTTTGAGTTGTTTTTATATTATTTAGAAATAGTATTTGCACCCATGTGAGCTTATGTCCATATCTAAAGGTATAGATGAATCTTACTGTCTGCGGTCTTGCTGATATGTGGTTGATAAATACAGATCCAAAATTGTCTGCCATAGACAGTTTTGCATATCTGTGATTTTTGGCACACAGTTTTCAGTCAACCATCATTTTGCCACATCCACAGAAGTACAGATTGTGCTTCTAACCCCCATTCCCAATTTCTCACTGATTCCAAGAGTCTACATCAGTGTTTCTCAACCTCAGCAACTTGAAGATGGGTGGACTTCAACTCCCAGAATT